GTCACAGCACTAGTTGGAAGTCAACAAACGCCCAGAACATAGCTCTGCTGCAGTGGAGCTCCCTCCATCCTCTCTTCTTTGGTTTGTATAGCATTATGGTAAAGAATCCATCCACCTGCCAAAGAGTAATACTGTAGAGATCTTCTCAGTTTGAGGTGGGGGTGGGGGCTGGTTGCCTTACAGAGTTGCAAGGGAAGTTGCTTTGATCAGATCAGAAGCATTGTGGGAAAGACATTGAATGCCTTCCACTCATACCATTTTTCTAATCTAATCCCACCAACAAAGGCATACACAAATGCTATAAACCCTAGAGGACACCTAATCACTTGAAACAGCCAACTCTAATTGTTGTTGTTGTTGTTCCAGGGATAATGGCAGCTTTGACGGTGATGATGATGATTTTATTTAAATTTATCATCACCGCCCACACCTATAGACCATGATGGTTTTTAGACTTGAGAAACAGAAGGAGATATGAAAACCATGTGTCCCGGCACTAATATTCCAGCGAAAATTGGTGCTCCCTACAGCTGCTTTAAGTAAAAAGAACCTTGGGAAATTCAGTATTGTATATCCCCCATTAGCTCTAAATATGGACTCCCATATTAGCTCTAAATATCTTTCAGCACTAAAACATTGTCTCTCTAGATGCCTCATAAGAAATGCAACTTTCATGCCTGACAAAGTTAAATCACCAAAATATCTTAATATTTCTCGAAGACCAAAAGCCAGCATTTTGTTCCCATGCAAAGTCAAGCAAAGAATTTATCGGAAGGAGTTGATACAATTCTGTTTTAGTCACACACTCATCCAATCATTTCCCCCCAAATATTTCTATATCAAAAACATTTTTTATAAAGTAGAAATCTATCAGGATTTCTAGACAGACAAGCAGGCTTAATGGTAATGCTAGAAACTTATTTAATATAATGTGCCTTTGAAAATACAGTAAGATTTCCTTTTTAAAAAGGTATGCACATAGACAAAGCAAAAGAGCGTGAACTTTACTACTGGAGATTAAAAGCTCCATCCCAGTAAAACTTATGTCAACAGTTTATTATGATACTTGATATGTTGTTCTATAAATAATACAAATAACTGTTCTTATGTAACAGTCATTTCTATTCATGTGCCCGTGGAAAAGCTTCTCATTGCAAAAATCTTTTTAAGTCCCTCCTTCAGCAGCAGAAATTTGTTGGTGGAGGAAATATTATTGAACTAAAAACTATTTGTTTCTTCCTTTTGAGGATACTCTTGAGAGCACAGCTGAGATATTATTCTTTTTCTTTTTTTAGCCTGGGATAGTATGGTGGGAACAATATACTTTTGGTAACTTAATCCCTCACTACTTTGTAAGTTTGGTTTTACCAACGTGCAACTTGGATCAAGGAAGAGGAAAGGGTAATGGCACTGTAGTGCTTCACTGTAACAAGATTTTTGTTTTCTTATTGTGTTTTCCTAGGAGGATGGGGCATTTGGCAGAAGAGTATCTGTTGAATGAAAAAAAAAAAAAGGCATCCAAAATACCTTCTCTTTTTCATACTAGTGGTTCAGAAAGAGGCTCAGAAATGTGCAGATTCACATCCATTTGGAATGTTATTTCAGAGTTGGCATTCTTCCTCAGAAGTGTTTAAAAAATTACAATACAAACTCATTAGACAGAATGAGGTACGGAGTGCTTTCACATATCCATACGAAGGAAAAGATACTTTCAAAGTCAAGATCCATCCAATGTAGCTTGTGATTTAGTGGTGGGTCAAGGTTCTCCCTTAACTTCTAGGTGATTCACTTTTATATATATAATCTCTTTACCTTTTTTCTGAGAACTTTGATGAGGCCTCTATCAGGGAACATCCTCTGGTGTTAAGAGTTTCCCTTGATAATTGATAATTAATCAAGATGAATGGATATGCATGTTCATTTCAGTCTTGATTCAGGTCCACTTATAGGAGAGAGACAGCTTTGGTCACCTTGATGGATTATCTGTGCTGGGAATTAGACAAGGAGAATGTAATTCTGTTAGTTCTGCTGGATTTCTTAGTGCTCAGCCATGGTATTCTACTGGTCCATCCTCCCGAAATGAAACCGAATAATATTGTGCTGCAATGGTTTTAACATTTCCCCAAAGGCAGTTTCAGAAGGTAGTGTTGGATAGATTCTATTTGACACCTTGACCACTGCTATATGGTATCCCACAAAGTTCTAGTATGTTTCCATGTAACTGAATATCAGCATGAAACCATTCGGGAAGTTTGTATGTTTTGTTTTCAGTACTTTTTTCGTCCATTATAAATTGGGGTAAAATAAGCATAGTACAAAATATCTGGGTACTCTAGTTTATGTAGGGCCACCTCCCCTAACTTGATGCTATAGAAATGTGTTGGATTCCAATTCCTGCCATCCCCAGCCACTGTGACCTTTGACATCCTCCTAGAGAATGGCAAGCTAGAGAAAGCGGTCCAAGATAATCTTGCTCATGAAACCCAGTTAGTATGTATTTTTTTTCATCATTTGTATTCATTTCATTTACAAGATAACACTCATTTGGCGTTTTATCTATGTGAACTGAAAATACCTGAATAGCACAGGCAATGGTATGTCTGTTAAGTTAAAGTAAACTTTTCAACTGAGATGAATGTAAACTCAACAACGTCTATAGATAAATATGGCTCCTGAAGACATGACTGATCTTACTTTTTTAAGCATTCAGCCATTGAACTTGATCAGACTGTAGTTTAATAGTCTCGTACCATTGTTTCATTGTTTTTATTCCCTTGTAAATTATTTCCCTTGTGAATTTTATTAAAGGAATAAAATTCACAAGGGAAGAAGAAATCAACAACACACTACCCTTCCTAGATATACTCATCAGCAGAGGAAATGATAGCAAATTAGAAACACAAGTCTATCGAAAAACAACCCACACTAACCAAGTGCTCAATTACCAAAGTAACAACCCAGCCTTCCACAAAAGGAGCTGTGTAAGAACATTATTCAGATGAGCCCAAATGCACTGCAGCAACCCAGAACAGCAGAAAAAGGAAACAGATCGCCTATACATCTTCCAACAAAATGGATACCCATACAACGTTATCAAAAAGTGCCTGACCACTCAACCCACTACAGCACAACCAACACAAGCTATGAAAAGGATAACACTGCCATACATCAGAAACATCTCAGAAACAAGCAACAGACTATTACAACCACACAGTATCACCGTGAGATAAACCACATTTACACACCATTCAAAAGAGACAATAAGAAAGCTAAGAAGGAAACAAAAAGACCCCAAACACATCCTCTCCAGCAACCTACACCCAGATAAACAGGGATTGACAACAGACAACGATCAAGCAGAAAACAATATTCTAATCAAGGAACTACCAAGGAGACAATCAAGCAAACAAACAATTAGAAAATAATACCCTAATCACAGAACTATCAAGGAGAAAACCACACCCCCACCAACACTGGCAGGGCAAGCTACTGTATATAAACAGGGAGCAAACCGCACACTCACTAGTACTGATGATACCTAGTCAGCTAATGAAACATCTGCAATCAAACAACTAAACTCAGAGAGCACCAAGGACTCTACAGAAGAATGGATTCAACTAAATATCAGTTTATCCTTGAAGCTAATATCCTACATCCAGTGAAGAAATTAAAATTGAAAAGAGATTGGATATTTCATAAGACAACAATCTGAAATATATATCAACCATGAAATAGTTACAGGAAAGATAAATAAATATTTTGGAGTGGCCTTCCCAACCTAAGATTTTATTGCTATTGAGGATCTGTGGGAAGACCTCGAATATGCAGTGGATGCAAGGAGATCTGAGAATATTTCTAAGCTAGAAGAGTTCTGCAAGAAAGAAGGGGAAAAAACAATCATAAGCAAGAATAGAAAAATTCTAAGGGTGCTACAGGAAATGTTTGGAAGCTATTATTTCTACCAAAGGAAGTGTTAGAAAGTGCTAACTGAAAGGTTATTCAAAATTTGGCATCAGCCATATTCATTGTTTTATTTAAAATCTGTAAAGAACTGTGCATAAATAGAAAGAATGCATTCAAATTTACAGAAAGATGTTTAACTTATACCATGTAGAGATTGTGTCAGCTTCTGTTTCCTTAGGGATTCCTTGAAGTACATGGTTTGACCAGGCATGCTACATTTTTGTGTACAACTGCACCCTCCCAGTTAACAGAATACTTGGCTGTTCCTTTGAGCAGGTTCCAGGAAGCTTTTAGCTCATTAAATTCTAACATCTCCAAAGTGCTAAACAAATCTCAACCTTCTGATGAAACTATTTGTTGGTGTGTGTGTGTGTTTGTGATTACAACAATGATAAGTAGGTTCCTTTCCCCCCCCCCCAAAGGCAGTTCTGTTGTTTGATTCCAATTTTTCCAGGACATCAGCTGCTGATTTTCTAACTTCAGAAGGAAGGCTTTAAAGAATAATGAAATTACATTTCCATTGGCAGTTGCTTTTATAGGATCTGCAATTGCTCATTGCTTAAACCCACAGACATGGCAAAGATGGTCATACCAAATATCCATGTAAAACTGGAGCTGGTCCTATATTCCCCTTATTTTATCTATCAACATAGTTCTCTAATCTAGAGAAGCTTCTTTAGTGAATTAGTTTTTAGTGCTTTCCTATAAGAATCTTGTGGGATTTTTAGTTATTTACTTAATTTACACATAAATGAGCATGTAAGATTAATAAGCATTTAAAATCTATCATATTAATTTCTGCATATTAGTGATAAATACATTTTATTTATAGAAGAGATGGAAAAATCACACTTTCCCCTTGGGAAGATACCTTAAAATACTATGAAGCAGGATATAGTTTGAGATTCTCTACATCACACTTGTATCTCTCTACTAGAACATGACAAAGGCACCTGCTTCTCTTCACAGTGAATAAATTCATTTTTTTTCTTTTATTTCATTGCTGCTAATATCTCCCTGATTCTTTCTTATTCAAGGGACCTGAAACTGGACAATATTCTTTTGGATGCAGAAGGTCATTGCAAACTGGCTGACTTTGGAATGTGTAAGGAAGGAATCTTGAATGGAGTAACGACTACTACCTTTTGTGGAACACCAGACTACATAGCTCCAGAGGTATAATAGTATTCATCGAAGTGTATAGAACTTTATTTTTTATGATGTTAGTTTACTTAACCCTCTATGAAAAACTGAAACCAATTCTTTCCGTGCAATCCTATTCAGGATTGAGCATGCTGGTGACTGTAGGACATCACAACAGGAACTTGGTAGAAAATAGGATAAATGCATGCTTGTCATACACATTTTCTAGTACCATTCAGAAACCAACTCCATCTTGCGATACACATAAAACATAGGAAAAGCCCTGTTGAAGCAGAATGAAGGCCTATCTCTTCTAACATATTTTTTTCCTATAGTACCAGCCACAGTAAAGTCTACAAGCATGATGGGAGTTTAATAGCAGACTCCTGCCTCTGAAGACAGCAGTTATCCATCAGGATCAGTGGCTATTCAAAGTCTTACCTTACATGAATTTGCTAGCTTCCTTATGAGTAGAACTAGGTGATGATCATCATCAGATTTAACCATATCATGTGATAGGAAATTCTGTAGGTTAACTGTTTCCTAAGTGAAGAACTACTTTTTCTTTTCTGACGTAAATCTACTTGTATTCAGCTTCATTGATAGACACTTAGTGTATTATGAATATCCTGGAAGGGTAGAGTACCATTTTCATTGATAGATAATGGGCAACAGATGTGTCACATTGGAAACTTCTTCAAAGAATTTATAGTTGGTTTTAATCTAAGGTCCAAGTGTGCTTCTTCGTAACTGACTTTAAAAAATAATTTGATTCCTCCTCAAATAGTGGGCAATTTAAATTGTTCATTTTGTGCAATTTTTTGTCCATTTATTTCTCTCTGTCCTTCTCTTGATTTCCCCTAACAGATCCTCCAGGAATTAGAATATGGTCCTTCTGTAGACTGGTGGGCACTAGGGGTTCTCATGTATGAAATGATGGCTGGACAGCCTCCCTTTGAAGCTGATAATGAAGATGACCTCTTTGAGTCTATCCTACATGACGATGTCCTCTATCCAGTTTGGCTTAGCAAAGAAGCTGTCAGCATTTTGAAAGCTGTAAGATTATCTATTTGTCTATTTCCCTTCTTAAATTTGAATTTTCCTAGAACACTTGAGAAATAGCCACCGCTGGGAGTTCAACTACAGTTCAAAGTGCCACTGTCAGTATAAGGGGGTCTGGGATGAATTACACTTCTTGTGGGAAAGAGACAAAATGTTTGTGTTCTTTGCATCTGTATAACTGTATACATGCCTGCACTTGAGAATCATGTTTCAGGAAGAACCAAAAACGCAAGCAAACTGAAGTGCCTTATCAAGCTGAATACTTCAAATTGTATGGCTAGCTAAAATGAGGACAGAATTATGCAACTGAAGATGCAAGGCCCACACAGATGGGCCCCAATCCAAAAGATACTTAACACAATGACAGCCTTATCCATAACTATGCTGACTTAAAAGTCAACTGATTTCACTGGAAGATGATCCTGTGTTTCTGACCACTGCAACTTCTGGGCAAATGTCATTTAGAGTTTGTTGTTTAGCATTCAAAGAACATTCATAGCCTTTTGAGGGGAAAAAAAAGGTGACAAGATAAGGGTGAAGTTAGTTTCAGTACATTTCATATGTTTATTTAAGATGAGAGGGTTCTACAAGGGAATTATATTCAATGGATCAGTTTCTTGACCAAAAGTTAATTCCCAGTTAATTCCCTGAAATCGGTAATTAGCTTACATACCAAATACTAATACTTGAATTCTCCAGAGGTTATAATAACCACATCTGTTTATCATAAAATATGCTTACCATAAGTAAACATTTTAAATGTCGCATTAATTTTTACACTAGATTACAGTTTTCACTATACATTGCTCAAAAACAAGTATCGTAACAACCATATATATAAACTTAATTATCTGCATATTGTTCCTTACATTGCCAAAATAACCCTGACTGTGCACAAGAGGGGCATATTAACAAGCAATAAGAACTTGACAAGAACTTAACAAGCAATAAGAATAAATCATTTGGGGCAACTCTCCCCAACGCAGCTAAAAAAGGGCTGGACATGGAATGGGAACTCCGATTGGGGATGGGATTGTAGCCACTTCAGTTTCTTGAGGTTTTGACTTTTGAATGTTTATGACCTGCTAATCCACATCCAGTTATTTTTTTTTAAAGTATAGTCAGGTGTGTTGCAAAACCTGACAACTGGGTGCAGAACCTGATGTTTCTACCTGAACATAAAGTCAGCTACTTTGAAGAAAGTTCCTATTTAGAACCCAGCAAAAGTCAGACAATCCAGTTTGCATGAGATGTTTCATGCAAACTGGCTGGTCTCTGAAAAGCTATGCCCATGGTATGGAGCACTGCCAGCCTGAGGAAGCTTGGAGGAGCTTATTGGGGGTGGAGTGTGTGTGCAACAGCATTTGAAGTAGCCTTAACTTTCCTTAATTGCAAGATAGGTGAGATCAGCCATCATAGTTGCTTAAATTTTGAAATAAGCCCTTCTCAGTCATTGTGAAATCCACTGACACATTCAAGAGAAAGAGATGAGCATGCTAGTTTCACCCTCCTCTTGCTGTCCTCCACATGCAGAGAGTGAATGCCTCGAGTGGTGAACCTCTCCTAACTATAGAGGTTCTCTGTGAGAGTGAAGACTCTGGGAAATCAGGATCCTCAGTAACATGGAGATCCACTGATAGAGGACAATCTCCTCTGTAGACCTTTACCTGATACATGTGGAAGTGATAAGACGAGGGTAAGACTAGCATGCTCATCCATATAGTCCTTTAAACACACATAGATTGTTACTGGATTTCTTACTCTGAAAGAGAGCTAATATGAGAACTTTTCCCACCTACCATGCAGATAGCTGTCTATAGCTTTTTACAATAACAAAAGTAAAACTTCTCTTGGGTGAGTTTTAGGCTTAGCTTAATGTTTGAAATTTGGGTTGTTCATCTTGTTCTTTAGCAATATGAAATTAACAGAAGAGCAGGAAAAACAGAGGAAATGGAGGGGCGTCTATGTACTTGACTGCCGAATATTAACAAGGGATTAGCTTTGGAACGCTTTGTTTCCTTACATTGTACTGCTAGATGAGGGCTTTGTTCTTCAGGCACTTTAAATCAGAATCCTGTTAAGATTTTTAAAAGTACTTTGAGTAGCTTTTGCAGAATGATCTTTGGGTTCTACTCAATTTTATTTATTGTATTGCAGTATTCTATTTCAATTTATTTATATTTTCTGGACAAAAATATCCAGCCTCAGAAATCAAGGATGCTTGAAAACATGGGGAGGATGGCAGGAACAATGGTGGGAAATCTGGAGTTTAATTTCTCTGAACTAAAGCTGATCTTCATTTATGGGTTGGCAGAGATCCTATTAATTTCTGAGGTTTTGTGAAGGACACAGTTCTGAATTTTTTAGAATGTTTAGACATCTTATGACTTTGGGGAATTCAAAATTCTTTTTATTTTTTTAATGCTTAAGATTAGATCCCTTGAAAATAAGAACAAAATGCGAAATAAAGGAGCCTTAGTTTGGTGGTGGAAATTATACTTTGCGTTCCAAAAACGTAGGTTCAATCTTCTTCTTCTCTAATTGAAGGAAATTTGTGTTACAGGGCTTTAGAGAGATCTTGCCAAGTGAGATGCATATGGTACCCTATCACCTTTCTTGCAGCTTCCAGAGCCCACTGAGATTGTACCACTGAAATTTGATGGCGAACAACCAAACATTAGTGTAATTTCCCATCAATTATTGGCAGGAAACTTTTTTAAAAAAAATTAAGAGTGTTAAGTCTGGATTGGTTTAACTCATCTAAAAAGTGGGAGGGGACCATAAAGCCCTCCAGAAGTGGGAAGAAAGGCTGAAAATCTTGGTCTCATTTTATCCAGTAATGTTACTGCACCAATACCCTTAGCTACTCACTTTTTTTAGAAAAAAGTTCAGTCCTCCCTTCTCCAAAATTGTCCATGTCAGTTTATATACTTGTAGTGTATATGAGTTTGTATCATCGTAATAAAAAACATTTTGAGATTTTTGCTCTTATCACTGAATACTTTAATTAAGGAATTGACCTCCCCGGGCCACAGTAAACTGCTTTATAGCATCCTATCCTAGATCCTTCAACATTATGCTCTGTATTGGCTTGCAGTTGCTTTCTAGGCTTTTCCAGCCTTGTCTGGAACTGAATGTGTTGACTGGCAGGTAATTTTCAGTAGGGCAGGGCACTCTTTGAACATGATTCTGCAAAAGTGCATTGGAGCAAATACAATCACAGCATCTCTCCACTATTCTTTCAAGCAGCCTGGCTTTTCTCAGCCTTGAGAAAAGCCTGAAAAAAGGATGCCACTGTTTTAAGGAGTCTGCCTTTAGTGCCATTTTTAAAGCATCAACATATTTGTTCATGCTCATACCAAAACCTGAAAAACATGTGTCTGATGTAATGAATAGTAGAGAGATGCTGCTCTTGTGCTGGGCCTGGTTTTTAGATATAGCATCTTTTTCTTGAAGATCTTTCTTTTAATGTAAATAAATATTTGCCAGATCAGATGGAGGCAGACAGGGATTGCACTCCCCTCTTTAAAATGTAGTTAGTGAATGGATCTGTTTGAACTTTGTTTAATGTTTAAAAGGCATGGTACGCTAAGACAGAACCAGACTCTCTATAGATATTTCTTCCACGCTCTAGCACTTCCTTATATTACCATGTCACATGTGAGTTTTGCTTTATCCCAGTCCCTACAGGAAGTGCTAGATGTAAGCATGCCATGTTCCCTCAGCCACGCAGCAAAATAATAATTTCAGTGTCCTGGCCCCTCCATGATCATTTGTTTGTTTGTTTCAAGGGGTTGATGAATGCTAGCCAGGCTTGTAGTTAGTGTTCATTCCTCCAAGGATTCTGCTGTTAAATCCTGCTTCTCTTCTATTGATGTCACTAACATAGCACCTTTTAAGTTTCAATCCTATTTTTAAGTCACACATTTTATACTGGTTAAAATGTACTTGTGTTAACTGTTCTTTTCCTTTACAATACCTGTTGATGTTTCTCTGGTTCTATTGTGGTTTCTGTTTTCAGGTCTTCATACCCTTCTTCTTGAACCTTTAATTTCATCTGTTTTGTGTCAGCATGCCATTTGTTACACCCAGGTATACCTCTGCCCCAGTTTTAGATGATGCAGTTTACTCTTTTGTGAGTTTGGATTTCAGCTTGGATTTCATCATGTCATCTCAAAGAAAACACAAGACAGTGCATGTTTTATTCTGATGGTCCTGCTCCACTTTTGTCTGTTCCTTTGCTTTAGGGCTGTCAACTGTTTGCATTTTCAGTGGTCAGACAATATGTTCTCTATGAACCCATTCATAAACAGTGGTAAAAATGGTAATTTCCAGCTTGGAAATATTTAGTGCAGTGTTTCTCAACCTTGGCAGCTTTCAGATGTGTGGACTTCAACTCCCAGAATTCCCCGGCGGGCCTGGGGGAGTCCTTTGCGGGGTGGGGAATTCTGGGAGTTGAAGTCCACACATCTGAAAGCTGCCAAGGTTGAGAA